TCACAACCAAATGAAGTATCCTTTGTTCCGAAAACAAGAAAGAGAATGCATTACACAGTGAGTACAAGAGCACAATTTCTGGCCATGTCTTTAATAGGTCATTCTCTAGCCAAGCTGTTTGCCTTTGGATTCACTTTGTAGAAATCAACAAGAAAGTAGGACTACTGCCAAAGCATGACCTCTGGAATAACATCCTTTGAGATAATGGAACACATCCAAGGGCATCGTGGGGGTGCCAACCTTGTAAGCAAGAGATTTTAGGGCTGAAGAAAACCGAAAATTATAGTGGAAAACACTATGAGGCATTAAGTTACCCAAGAGGAGGGGATAACCATTAAACAAAATACCTGTTCTGGAACCAACAAGCACTAAGACTGGAAAAATTGACGAAAAGCCCTTTAAAGAATCTCCCATTTCTCTCATGCCAAATAGTCCAGAGAGTGGCATGGGAATGCTTGCAATAAGCTTCTTCATTGACTTAAGACTCCGAATACCATTGCATGCAAACAACTTACCCCAACCCACATAGATCTACTCAAAACCCAATTGATAGCAGCTTAGTCCCATATCCTTACCCTCTTAGGACACCACAAAAGGTGATAGAGGGTTCTTTTCCTTTTGAAATAAAACATTGTCTCAAATCCACAAGAGAACACCAGAAAATTATCTCTACCTAGATTATTTCTATATCACGAAGTGACTATAAACGTTAATCAAATTTAGTAGTCAAAAGAAAAGAACATTACAAAAATAACCCACTTGCACAGTTCCAAATAAGGAATTAGGAACATTAGGCTTTGTTATGTACCAAAAAAATATTTTTAGTTTTTATTTCCCATACATATGTGTCTATATAAAAACACAGGTGATGGTTGAAGATAAAATTAATATTTAATAAAAAATAAAAAAATAGCATAATTTGAAAGTAACTATTTTAGTTCTTTAACTACTTGTTATATTACATTTAGATTTTAAATTTTTATAACGTTTTGGTCCTTAAAATTATAACATTGTTTCAATTCATCGTCTGTTTATACAACTGTGAGATTTTTTAAGAGAAAGTGATAGAAGTTCTTTTTTGTAATATCTATATTCTCTTTTCCATAAAGTTTAAAAGTTATAGCAATTAAACATTAACGTAATAAGTTTAACACCAATAACAACTTGTTTTATTTAAGTCATGCAGATAACAATAGTAGACACTAGAAGCAGAAAAAAAGACCTGCAATAACAATTTTTTTTAATTTTTTAAAATTCATAATCTTAAATATAATTATTATAGTTTCTTAAATTATTTTTTATGTCACCAATGCAAGACATAAATAACTTTTCAATTTTTGTAAAACAATTCAGTAAAAAATCTTGTTCTTCAGGGATCATATCGGGAAAAAATAATTGAGACAGAATTATAAAGGCAAATAGTTCTGGGACTAAAATAATAATTTGTCTAAAAATTTTTAGTATTTTCTAGAAGAATGCTTTTTATTTGTTTTTCAGGCTTTTACCCTGCAGTCTGGAGAAAGCCAGCAAGAATGTAAAGCAACAGCTGGGGTTTCTTGTTATTTCTACTTGATACTGTATATGCACACATGAACATGAATATGCATGTTTATACAGGTGTGTATCCATATACATACACATACTGCTATATGCATGTAACTATAGATACATGTGTAAATATAGATTTACCTACATACAGAATACACAAATATATGAGGACAGAAAATAAAAACTAGAAAATATTTTCATGTATCAAACACAAACTAAATTCATCTATGCAAATGATGCTTTGGAAAGAGGAGAGGTGATATCAGTTATTTCCACAGCCCCCTCCTATCCCTTAATCATCATGTTTTATTCAAGATCAACGTGTAACTTACTAGTATTACTAGTATGAAGGAACAAAACAGATTCCAATTTCTAACTCAAATAGTTGTATTTCATTTGTAAAGCACACTGTCAAATAATTTCCATGAAAAAACTATCTTCCTTTATAGGAAACAATTTGGCACAACTGTCAAAAAAAAAAAATTCCGCGGAAAGGTTCTCTTCCTTTGTACACAAATTTTCATCAGATAAATATGAAGGTACAATCCTCACTTCACTACTCATTAGATTACAGTCTGACAAAGAAGCAAGAAGTAAAAAAGGCCCTGGAAAATATTGACATCTTCAAAACATTTAATTAGCATCGGAAATTTTGTATGACTCTAATTTATATGAAGGTAAAAATAGAGCAGGACTTAACAGTATTGCATGATTTAATTGTTAAATGGTGCTACCCGACTCTTAAGATTTTATCATAGAATGTGGACCTTTGTTCTTCTGCCTTTTACACTCGGAGATCCTTTTCTGAACTTCTCATACAGCATCCTTTAAGTCAAAACATGGCTTTCTCTCCCTCTTACTTTGAAGAAAAATGCTTCCCCTAAAGTTAGAGTTTTTATCCGAACCATGATCCTAAACAAAACTTGACACTAATGGTTTACTTCAAGCTACATACCCCTCAGAGGTTTATCCCTTGTATCTATTTGATGTGTTCTTTTGGAGCTTAGAGTGTAACGGTCACTATTTTTAAGTTACTTCCAGGATATGGTAAATTGTTTTTCACATTTGTGGAACCTTTTAGTTTATATTCTAACCACGATATCTTTATATCTATCCCTTTCTGAGCTTTTAGGAGCACAGCAATATAGAGTATAAGGTGTTGCATATGTAATAACAGAGAAACTGGTGACTTAAGCCTTCGATGAATACCTTATAAAGCTACATTGTTACTGATGCTGGCTTTGGTTTGTCCAACAGAGGCTCCAAAAATTAAAAAAGCCAAAGAAAAAGTTTAAATTTCCGTTCTCAGACATCTTTACAAGACTGCAATTCCAGTTCCTTTCATTTCTTAACATGTTCTTTAAAGGCAATTCTTAACAAATTTTACTTGGTAGGTAACATATCATTGTCAAAAGAAAAAAAAGTAACGAAGGAAGATTCCAGTACAAACATAACTACAAATATGGTGTAGGATAGAATATCAATATATTGAAAACAAATATATCTTCAAGACATAAAATCAAAACTATCTATTGCTGCATAGCGCATACTTTATTAGCAGCATACTTAGAGGAGATGTATCTCGTCATCTAGTACTAGTATACCTTTTATAATGCAGAAATAACCACATCTAGTACTAGGAATTTAAAAATGAGAATGCTATGCAAAGAGAGTTGGATTACTCACAATGGCAGGATTCATGGCGGGCCCAGTGTAAGCAGAACCTGAAAGAACCAAGGCCACAGTTGCCACGGCAAGTAACCATGTTTTCAACACCGAGTTGCGAGGACCCTTCAGGATAATTACCAGGACTGCAAAGGTAATTAAGAAAGTCAAAATCCCCTCAGCAACCGCTCCGGTGTGCAGTTCGACTTTCAAAGACGGTCCCCCAATCATGTGCTTGTATTGTATTGGCATCACCTCTGTGATAGCCAGAGCACCACCAACAGCACCTACAGCCTGTCAATAAGACATGCCACAGTCAATAATGTCATTAACCACATCATCGTCATGTTTTCTCTCTTTAATATATTACGAATTACTTCTCA